CTGCGGTGGTTCTACTACTCCTGCCGGTACGTCTACCTGCTGCTGCGCCACATGTACAGGATCTACGGCCTGCAGCTGCTGCTGGAGGACACCTGGAAGAGGATCCGCTTCCCCGACGTGCTGCGGGTCTTCTGGCTGACCCGGGTCACCGCCCAGGCCCTGATCCTGGTCTACGTGGTGAGGGCGGTGAAGAGGGAGAGCGGAGGCGCCGGCGACGGAGGCTCAGACTCTCAGGTGGGGGTTCACCGGTCGGTCTCCACGTCAGAGAGGAATAAAACAGGAACCATAAAGTGCTCAGAACTGTTTTGTGTGACTGTCTGCTGTACAGAGTTCCCTGCTGAGCTGGGACGTGTTCTGGGATCTGACCAGTAACCTCATCATCTCCGGCTGTGACTCCACCCTCACCGTGCTGGGCATGAGTGCCGTCATCTCCTCCGTGGCCCACTACCTCGGACTCAGCATCCTGGCCTTTATCGGTACCAGAGCCTGTCTGTCTGTGTCAGAACTTTAACAGCCCATGTGGGCCACTGTTGCCTCCGACATCCAGTTCTTACATGATTCTGATTATTGTGTGTTTGTCGTGTTGACCTGGAGGTCACAGACTGACCACACGAGGCAGCGTAGACCACTGTGTGATTGTGTTTCCTCAGGGTCCACAGAGGAAGAGGACAAGCGTCTGGGCTTCGTGGCTCCGGTTCTCTTCTTTATCCTGGCTCTGCAAACGGGTCTCAGCGGCCTGGACCCCGAGGAGCGCCTGGTGGGTTCCTGGAGTACGCAACTGTTGATTTGTCCTCGCTCTTGTTGTTGTTGTTGTTCAAATCCTCCTGTTTTTTGTTTTTTTTTGTTTCCCAGGTGCGTCTCAGCCGAAACATGTGCCTCCTGCTGACCGCCATCCTGCACTTCATCCACGGCATGACCGACCCGGTTCTCATGTCCCTCAGCGCCTCGCACGTCTCCTCCTTCCGCCGTCACTTTCCTGTCCTGTTGGTGTCGACGGTTCTCTTCGTGCTGCCCGTGGCGCTCAGCTACGCCCTCTGGCATCACTACGCCCTCAACACCTGGCTCTTCGCCGTCACCGCCTTCTGTGTGGAGCTGTGTCTGAAGGTGGGTCGTCCCTGGTTCCTCTGGTCCTGGTTCCACTGGTCCTGGTTCCTCTGGTCCTCTGTCCTCTGGTTCTGGTGCCTCTGGTCCTGGTTCCTCTGGTCCTCTGTCCTCTGGTTCTGGTGCCTCTGGTCCTGGTTCCTCTGGTCCTCTGTCCTCTGGTTCTGGTGCCTCTGGTCCTGGTTCCTCTGGTCCTCTGTCCTCTGGTTCTGGTGCCTCTGGTCCTGGTTCCACTGGTCCTGGTTCCTCTGGTCCTGGTTCCTCTGGTCCTCTGTCCTCTGGTTCTGGTGCCTCTGGTCCTGGTTCCTCTGGTCCTCTGTCCTCTGGTTCTGGTGCCTCTGGTCCTGGTTCCTCTGGTCCTGGTTCCTCTGGTCCTGGTTCCACTGGTCCTGGTTCCTCTGGTCCTCTGTCCTCTGGTTCTGGTGCCTCTGGTCCTGGTTCCTCTGGTCCTGGTTCCTCTGGTCCTCTGTCCTCTGGTTCTGGTGCCTCTGGTCCTGGTTCCACTGGTCCTGGTTCCTCTGGTCCTGGTTCCACTGGTCCTGGTTCCTCTGGTCCTCTGTCCTCTGGTTCTGGTGCCTCTGGTCCTGGTTCCACTGGTCCTGGTTCCTCTGGTCCTCTGTCCTCTGGTTCTGGTGCCTCTGGTCCTGGTTCCTCTGGTCCTGGTTCCTCTGGTCCTCTGTCCTCTGGTTCTGGTGCCTCTGGTCCTGGTTCCACTGGTCCTGGTTCCTCTGGTCCTGGTTCCACTGGTCCTGGTTCCTCTGGTCCTGGTTCCTCTGGTCCTGGTTCCACTGGTCCTGGTTCCTCTGGTCCTCTGTCCTCTGGTTCTGGTGCCTCTGGTCCTGGTTCCTCTGGTCCTCTGTCCTCTGGTTCTGGTGCCTCTGGTCCTGGTTCCACTGGTCCTGGTTCCTCTGGTCCTCTGTCCTCTGGTTCTGGTGCCTCTGGTCCTGGTTCCTCTGGTCCTGGTTCCTCTGGTCCTGGTTCCACTGGTCCTGGTTCCTCTGGTCCTGGTTCCTCTGGTCCTGGTTCCTCTGGTCCTCTGTCCTCTGGTTCTGGTGCCTCTGGTCCTGGTTCCACTGGTCCTGGTTCCTCTGGTCCTCTGTCCTCTGGTTCTGGTGCCTCTGGTCCTGGTTCCACTGGTCCTGGTTCCTCTGGTCCTGGTTCTGAGCTCTGTCGGACGTTTAACCCTGGATGAAATAACGCAGTTCCCTCTTTCTCCAGGTGGTGGTATCTCTCACAGTCTACGGCCTCTTCATGGTGGACGGTTTCTCCAACGTCCTCTGGGAGAAGCTGGACGACTACGTCTACTACGTCCGCTCCACAGGAAACATCATCGAGTTCCTGTTTGGGGTCATCATGTTTGGAAACGGCGCCTACACCATGATGTTCGAGTCCGGCAGCAAAATCCGGGCGTGCATGATGTGCCTCCACGCCTACTTCAACATCTACCTGCAGGCCAAGAACGGCTGGAAGACCTTCATCAACCGACGCACCGCCGTCAAGAAGATCAACTCGCTGCCAGAGATGCGCGGCGAGCAGCTGCGCCACATCGAGGACGTGTGCGCCATCTGTTACCAGGAGTTCGCCACGTCTGCTCGGATCACGCCGTGTCACCACTACTTCCACGCCCTCTGCCTCAGGAAGTGGCTCTACATCCAGGACACGTGTCCCATGTGCCACCAGAGGGTGTACGTGGAGGAGGAGGGCCGCGAGCGCGCCGCCTTCTCCAACAACAACGCGGCGTACGCGGCGGCGCCACAGGTCGCCGCAGCCGCCGGCGAGGCTCCGCCCGCGCAGGGCGAGAACCGGCACGGACAAATGGCCGCCGAGCTGCTGCTACCCGAAGAAGCGGTGGCTGCAGCAGGGGGCGCTGGTGTGCAGCTGGTGGGCGGAGCTGCAGAACTGCTGGAGGACAACGACAGTATAGAATACGACGAAGACGAGTGGGGGACGCAGAACGGCAGCTCGCCGGTAGAAGAAGACTATATCAATGATGACACGGACTCCAGCGAGGAGTGAGGAGAAAAACTGAGAGAAAAAAAAAAATAATAATAATAATTTAAAATGATTCTAAAAACTGTTTCTGCAATTGTTGTTAAAACATCAGGGAAGTTTCCTCTGGTTCTGTCTCCGTTCTTTGGACCTCTGCACACTGTGAGGCTGGAGTCATGCTATACATGTCCACATGGTGGCGCTGTGCTCTTTAATCAGCTCAGCAGCAGGAAGTGGTGACAAGTTTGGAAATAGAAGAGGGTTAAAAGTAAGAAGTCTTTGGAGTTGGCCACCAGGGGGCTCAACATGAGAGAAGAGTGTGTGTGTGTGTGTGTGTGTGTGACCTTCAAAATCAAAGGTCAAAGTGACCCTAACAGTGACCAGCACATATGTTCTAGAGAGGGTTTGTCAGGTGACAATCAGCTGTGGTGATAAAACTGTTCTTTCACTAGAACTCTTCTTTGGAACCGTCTTTTATTTTGAAACTGAAGGCAGACTTCCTGTTTCCTCTGTGACCTTTTTAAAGAAGTTCAACTCAGACTTTTACTTTGAAAAGACTCTTCACGTGCTCCACAGGTGTCATCAGTCACATTCAAAGGCCGAAGATCAAAGAGCTGACCTGACGTGGAAGGAGACGTTTCCTCAGCTGTCCGACCTGGAGAAGATCCAGGTCTCTGATTGGTCGTCCAACGTCTCCGGTCCACTGACGGAGACAACGTGTTTGAGAATCAGTTTGGAACGCAAACCTTTAGTTGATCATTAAAAACAGTGTTTGATATTTTTACTAAATAACAACGAAAGAAGATGTTCAGACCAAACCTCATGGAGAAAATCAGAGATTTTAGTTCAGACCAAAGTCCATGGAGAAAATCAGAGATTTTAGTTCAGACCAAAGTCCATGGAGAAAATCAGAGATTTTAGTTCAGACCAAAGTCCATGGAGAAAATCAGAGATTTTAGTTCAGACCAAAGTCCATGGAGAAAATCAGAGATTTTAGTTCAGACCAAAGTCCATGGAGAAAATCAGAGATTTTAGTTCAGACCAAAGTCCATGGAGAAAATCAGAGATTTTAGTTCACAGACACAGCTGTTGTTACCAAGTTTAAATGTGAAGATTTCTACATTATTTGGGCCACGCAGAAGGAAAAATATAATATTACGAGATGAAAGCTGTAATGATGTAAAAAGTCTAAAAAGTATGAAATTTCAGGTGTAAATTCGCTGACGTTTTTTGGAGGAGACGTGAGAAAAGTGCACAGGTTTAACTGTCAGAGCGTCAGAATAAGAACCATGGAGGATCTCGTACAATTGTACTTTAGTACTGGTTTCACAACTCATCATCATCATCATCATCATCTTCATCTTCTGGCTCATCAGCCTGACGTCATCATCAGAACCACACGGACCCGGGTGAAGTTTGTGATTGTACGAAATGACGAACTCCTATTCGCCGAGGTAAACGGACACAACCGCCGTGTCACCGAGGTCAGGTGCACTTACGTTTCTGAACCAGCAGATGGCGCGTATCGCCCATTTAAATGTAACTGCCCCAAAACCAAACGGCTTTATTTTGAAAACTGCACCAAAGCGTGTGAACAGAGTCGTGTGAACAGAGTCGTGTGAAAACCGTCAGCAGAAACGATATCGGTCCACAGACGTGTAGTCGATAACATGGTCGATCGTTCTGTCGTTGACGTTTCTCCGCCCACTGAAAGTTGGCGTGAGTTGTTAGCGGAAACAGAAACGTTTACTCTGACACCTCCAGCGGGCGCTGTGCTATCGAAGTGAGGCTAACTTGACCGTCCTCTGTGCCAGAACTTGAAGAGTTTAGTTCAGGTCCCGGAGCGGGTCCGTCCTGAGGCCTCGGTACCGGAGGATATGTCCCGGTGTTTAGTTCACTTCGAGCGACTTTCCGACAGAAACCCCAGCAGAATCGTCGCTGAGCAGCGGAACACTGACGGCCGCAGAGACCGGCACAGACGCAACTTGTGTTCGAGATCAGCGGCAGTCTCTGCGGGGAGACCGCGCTCACAGAACCGGTCAAACGAGGTGTTTTTACAGGTCTGTTGATAGTCCGCCATGCCCCGACACCGACTCTTCAGAGCCCTGGGTCTGGTTCTGAGGCCGGATCCTCCTGCGGTGAGGCGGGTCCCACCGCCGTGCTCCGTGCCTCCTCCCCCGGGGCCAGCGGCTCTGTGTGGCCACAGGTGGATGGGGACCCACGGCAGGAAGGAGCCGCGGGAGCCGCTGAATTCTCCACCGAGAGCCAAAGAGTTTATTTACCGTCTGCAGCCGGCAGAGAGGAGCAGTCTGCTGCAGGAGCTGCAGAACTTCCAGTCCAGAGCCACGGCACAAGGTAGGAGTCCGCAGGTCGGTCACGTGGTCCCGGTACACACACGGTTTTATCGTGTATCAGTAGAGGAAACCGCTACAGTAAGTACTATTGAATGTCTGGTTTTATGGTAATGATAATGGAGTACGTCACAGGTGTACGTCACAGTCGGAACAGTAACATCGTACTGGTGTTTCCTGGTGTTTCCTGGTGTTTCCTGGTTCACTGACTCCACTCCTGTGAGTCCGTCAGTGAGCTTTGGTTTGGACTGACTGTTTCCAGACCTCGGACTGTTGTTGAAGGCTGGTCGACAGTGAACAGAGGACGCCATCTGCTGGTCACAGCTGACCCCACCCCACATGTGTTTAGAAAAGATATGAGACACACACACACACACACACACACACATACTCAGAAGTCAAATGGTGGGGCGGGGCCCCCTGGGGGGCGCGGTGAGGTGCCGAGGGGGGGGGTTGGTGGGTGAGCGGCTTCTAATGGAATCCGGCCACGACATCAGTGGACCACTGCTGTAATGTTTAAATGATAACAAGCCTCCGGTCACTAGGTGGCAGCAACCAATGACGGCCGGGGTCAGCTGTGATGTCAGCTGTGATGTCAGCTGTGATGTCAGCTGTGATGTCAGCTGTGATGTCAGTGAGAATCCAAGTGGGTTTGGTTGTGACATCACACGTGTCAGTGTCAGTGGGCGGAGTCACCGCCGCTAACGACTGAAGCTAGTTTCATGAGCCGCAGCTGTGGCTCCTTCTGATTGGCTCTCGTCTCCATTTGTTCCCGCCTTAACATTTTCGTCTGATTCGTTGATCAAAGTCTTCATTGTTTCGTCATAGTTTTCATCTGTGAAAAAAAGGTTCATTGACAAAAAATGTGTTTTTTTTGAGACTAACTGCTAAAACCTGATGTTGTTTGTGGACAGAGACTCTGGACACTGGTCCACCAACAGCCGCTCAGATCAAACACGGTAAGAGACCTAAAGACTTTTCTATTTTTTATCCTCTTATCCATGATGTCACCAAGTGACCTTTGACCTGAAAACAGATGAATTAAATCCACATGTCAGTTCAGCAGCGTCTGAACTGGATCAGTTCATAAATGGTTCTAATTCAAGAAGCATTCTCAGACTCACGTCGCTCCTCCTCCTCCTCCTCCTCTTCCTCCTCCTCCTCCTGCTCCTCCTCCTCCTCCTCTCCTCTCTGCAGTTCTACTCCACAACGCCGTCCCCTTCGTGGGCTTTGGTTTCCTGGACAACGCCATCATGATCGCAGCTGTGAGTCAAACGGTGTCGATGAAGACCAGTCCGATCACAGCCAACGACCTCCGCTGTCACTCATCCGCTCCTCGTCTCTGTCTCTGTGTTTGTTGTTTTCCAGGGAACGCAGATCGAACTGTCCATCGGAGTCACTCTAGGAATCTCCACCATGGCTGGTGAGAACGAAAATCTCTGTTTTCTCCATGGACTTTGGTGTGTGTGTGTGTGTGTGTGCGCATGCATGTGTGTGTGTGTTGAGTTTGTGGAGCCAGATTCTCCGGCTTGGCTTTTTATACGGTGGCAGCAGCAGCAGCAGCAGCAGCAGCAGCAGCAGCAGCAGCAGTAGAACCGCCTCCTCCCCCCCTGGGGGGCTCTGTGGGGGGGTGGTATGATGATGTATCTGAATAATATTTGTCTTCATGTATGTTTAGTTTGGCGGGTTATGTAGAGGTTCTGGCGTCTAAACTCGGCCTCCAGGTTCCAGATCTGACGCCCAGGCAGGCGGACATGTGGCAGACCAGAGTCTCGTCTCACCTGGTCAGAGTTCACACTTTGTTATTTGATAGTTTTGGTTCATCAGAGACTAAACGGTGAACGGTTCCACGCTGCACTGATCTGGGATCGGTTCTAGTCTTCACTTCTTTTGTACTGATTCTGAACAAATTTAAACAAACTGTGACTCAAGGTTATTGTGTGTGTGTGTGTGTGTGTGTGTGTGTGTGTTGGTCTCAGGGTAAGGCCGTTGGCATCACTCTGGGCTGTATCCTGGGAATGTTCCCGCTGTTCTTCCTGGACGATGAAGACAAGGACAGAGAGAAGAAGGAAGAGTGACATCATCGTTAGGCTCCGCCCTCTGAGGAGTCACAGTCTCAGATGTTTGTTTGACCTCAGACATGTCTTCCCACAATCCTTTTCTGCCCGGCTGTTGTTAATCCCATGTTTTTGTTTTTGTTTTTTGAATGTGTTTAATCTCAGTCTGCAAACGTCGTAACATCTGGGATTACAGCTAATCTGAGGATAATCTGCAGCTAAAAAACTAGCTAGTTAGCTTCGCAGTTTAGTCAACAGACTGACAGACGCTAATCTACCTCGATCCTAAATAGTCTGTAGCTAATCTGAGGTTAGTCTGTAGCTAATCTGAGGTTAGTCTGTAGCTAATCTGAGGTTAGTCTGTATAGTCTGTA